GGTTTCCCGACCACCCGCACCGCGGCTTTGAGACCATCACGTACCTCTTGCCGCACTCGCCCGGCATGATGCTCCACGAAGACTTTTGCGGCCACCGCGGCGAGCTCGCGCCCGGCGACCTCCAGTGGATGTGCCCTGGCCGCGGTATTGTCCACTCGGAGATGCCTGCGAGCCGCAACAAGCCCGCGATTGGCCTCCAGCTCTGGCTCAATTTGCCCAAGTCGCTCAAGATGACCGAGCCGAAATACCAGGAGATTCCGGCCAAGGGTCTCCCGCGCGTCAAGGAAGGTAACGTCGAGGCGATCGTGATTGCGGGCCAAGCCATGGGCGCGACCGCCAACGTCTTTACCAACGTCCCGATCACGTACGTCCACTTTATCTTTTCCGGCGCAGCGTCGCACTCGCATGCGCTGCCGAAGGACCACAATGCGTTCGTGTATATCATCTCGGGCGAAGGCTCCATCGGTGGCACGCGCGTCGAGCCGCACTCGGTGGTTTTGCTCTCGGCGGACGGCAACGAAGACGGCGTCACGCTCGAGACCACGGGCGACATGCAGTGCGTCGTGCTCAGCGGCAAGCCCATCAACGAGCCCATCGAGCAGTACGGTCCATTTGTCATGACGACGCGCGCCGAGCTCCAAGCAACGATCCAAGACTACAACTTTGGCCGCAACGGCTTTGAGAACGCACCGGACTGGAGCTCGTCGATTGCCGAACTCGCATACAAGTAGACACCACTCGTAGCTTTTTCGATTATATTTGACTTTGCATGACCAGCTTCGATTGTTTTCTCCTCGATGTGATGGACTTCACTACAACCGCCAGCACGACACGCAGGCGCGTCTACGACGTACTCCATGCGTCACAGCGACGACAGCTAATGGCATCGATGTCCAATGAGCGGCGTTCACACTGCTATAAGTACTCGACTATCAGTACTTACTCGCTTTTTCCGGGCGAAGCAGCTCGGCTCTCTCGCACGTCCTTGACGGTGGCCTTTCTACCGCATGCCGGTCGCAACAGATCTCGAAGGGTAGAATCATCGCCCCGACGGCGCGGGCGATTCAGCCGTTAGGCTTATGTACGCAGTCGAGACCGCCTCCGGGAATGGTCCATTGACCGACTGGCTCGTCGCTTGGAGCATGCTTGCGCCTGGTCGTCCTGACGATCGGCGATGCATTTGAAAACTTGAATGGTCCCTGCTAAGTGCGATTGACAAAGCTCGCACTTTTGCACGCAAAGTGCCAGTTCTTTGGAGCGCACTTAGGCGAGCTCAACTGTGCAACCAGTGTTTACTTCGAGCCGTTCGAAGTATTTGGATATTGCCCCGAAGTTTTCGGACCGTCGAAGGCAGCATGAACGCGCAAGGGGCCGGGTCCGGAGACGCCAAGGGCATCAAGAAGGAGCGCCATCGGCTCACGGACCAGCAACGCATCGACATCATCCGCGCTGTCGAGCGGGATCCGACGCTCAAGAACGTCGAGCTCGGTCGGCGCTACAACATCACGGAGGCGGCCATCCGCCAGCTCCTCCAGAAGAAGGACGCGATCCTCGACCGATACCTCAAGTCCAACCCCAACAGCCATGACGACAGACCGACCGGCATCGAGGAGATCCCGGCCAACATCTTGCCGACGGGCCAGCCGCCGATACCGACGGCGAACCTCGGCCGCGGTGGCCGGAAGGGCAAGCTACGCCTCAATGACAAGCAGCGCATCGACATCATCCGCGCCGTCGAGCGCGACCCGACGATCAAGAAGGTCGAGCTCGGCCGACGCTACAACATCTCGGAGGCCGCGATCCGGCAGCTGCTGCAGAAAAAAGACAAAATTCTCGAGCGCGTCGCGGGCACGGGGCTGCCCACGGGGCCGCTTCCGAGCACATCGTCGGCCGCGCGTCCCGAGCGCAAGAAGCCACCGCCAGCGCCACTGCACATGGAGGTCACGTCGACGTTTGACTCGGAGCTTTACGGCTGGGTCACGGCGCTCCAGTCGCGCAACGTCATGGTCGCGCCGTCGCTCATCCAGCGCAAGGCAAAGGAGCTCGCGGAAAAGTACCCGGCCACCGAGTACAAGCCGTCGGTCGCATGGTACAACAAGTTTTGTTCGCGCTTCAACCTGCCGCCGCACCCGACGACGAGCCCGGGCCAGTACGTCAACAGCCTCAGCAACATGGATCTGCAGCTGCAAATGAAGCAGCTCCGCGAAAAGATTTTGCAATACTCGCCCGACCGCATCTACAACATGTGCGAGACGAGTCTTTTCTACCAGCTCGTGCCGTCCTACAACGTGCTCTGTCCGTTTGAGAGCGCGGAAGTGACGCAGCGCAAGATGGAGCGCGTCACGCTCGTCGTTTGCACGAACGCGACGGGCACGCACAAGATTCCGATTCTCATGGTCGGCAAGGAAAAGTCGCCCGTCTCGGCGGGTTACAAGTCGCTGCCAATCCACTACGCGTCCCAAGTGAAGGCGTGGATGGACTCGACCATCTTCAACCATTGGTGCCAAAACGTCTTTATGCCCGAGGTCAAGCTCCGCACGAACGAGCCGGTCTTGCTCCTGCTCGAGCACGGCGCCCAGAACATGGAGTTTGCCATTGACCAAGTCACGTCGATGTTTGTGCCGCTCAACATGGGCTCGCGCTTCCAGCCCATGAACCTCGGCATTATCGACGCGCTCAAGAAAGAGTTCAAGTTTGCGATCTTTTCCGACTTGATTTCGGTCCTCTCGCTCGGCGACCAAAAGCGGCTGGAGCTCGAGCAAAAGGCGCGGATGCTCGTGCCCAAGGGCGCGGCTGGCATTGCGTACGGCCGGTCGCCGCACCTCTTTGACGCGATGGTCACGATCAAGGCGGCGTGGGAGTCGCTGTCGCGCGACACGATTCAAAACAGCTGGGCGCTCTCGACGCTCGTGCCGGGTCTGGACCGCATGAGCGACCACAAGGAGTGCCACATCGTCCACGACATGTGTGCGATGCTCTCGTGCATATCGCTCAACGCGACGTACGGCGAAATCTCGACCGAGATTGTCGAGTGGATGGCGATCGACGACAACGACTCGCGCGTGCTCCGCGAGGAGATCCAGCGCGACATTGACGAGCTCCTCCACGCGCCGTCGCTCCGTCTCGACTCGCCCACGAACTCGCTCTTGGACCCGCCGCCGCCGACGCCGTGGGTCGGCGACGAGGCGTTTGTGCAAATGATCATGGCGGTCGAGGACCAGCTCGGGCACCCGCGGGTGCAAGGCCTCCTCGGCGACCAGCAAGCGCAGTCCACAGTCCATGCGCTTCGGAGTGTGATTCGGCAGCTGCGCCGGGACACGCTATTGCGCAAAGCAGGACGCACCGTCGAGTTGTAGGCGCCACGCGCGCGCCTCACGGGACGAGCTAGTGTAGTTATGGAGTAAGAAGGAAGAAAAGACTTAGATTGTTGCTTATTTGAGAATGTCGGTTGACGAAAGATACGCACTACTGAATCTCTGTATAGTATAATGGAATCGAGTAAGCGACGAGAAAGAGAAGGCAGTTGCGATCACATTTCGATGGGCAAATCGATAGGCGCGGCCCAGCCGCTTCTGCCGACGCACAAGCAAGGACCTCGCCAGACGACGCGGTTCCTTGATCGCGGCGGCGACCACGCGATTCCCGAGAGCCAGTACGGCCTCCTCGGCCAAATGTCCTTTGGCAAGTACAAGTAAGTGGCATGCTTATCGCCCAACGCGAAGTGCAATCTCGCAATATGCTAGTATTGAGCGCGTCGGGGGCTCGTGGCGCCAGATCTACTGGGACGACTTGTACCACACGGTCATCAACACGCGCACCGTGCGCCTCGTCACGGCCGTCTTTGTCGTTGTACGTACAGCCACACTAGCGCACATGCCAAAATCGCAGTCTAGTATGCTTTCGTCATCTTCTTCTTCGCGCTTGCGTACCAGACCGTGTCGCTCAAGGACCCGGAATGCCATGTCGGGATTACGAGCCTCACCGAAGCCTACATCTTCTCGGTGGAAACCATTGTACGCGGCCACCTACTCTGCTACTGTCCCTCCAACCTCATGACAGATGACGATTGGGTATGGCGCGCCGTCCGACGACATTTTTTACGGCGGCTGTGGCTCGATGGCGTTTCTGCTGACGATGGAGGTACTCTCTTCTACTGTCCTTCTTTATAGTTAGTCGGACGGTGGCCTAGTCGTTTGCCGGCATCTTTCTGGATTCGATTCTCATTGGCATGTTCTTTGTTCGCTTCTCGCGCGCCGACGTACGTGGCGACGTCGATCTCATGACGCTCAACGCGTCATTTGGCTAGACGCGCGCGCTCTCGATCGTCTTCTCCAAGGACGCGGTCATTCGCAAGATCCGCGGCAGCTACTACCTCATGTTTCAAGTGTGCGAACGCCGGAAGCACCAGGTAGCAACTTGCTTCTATACGCTTGCAGGCGAGCAGCAGCACTGGACTAGCTCGTCGAGGCCCATGTCCGGTGCTATGGCATTCGCCACGAGATTGCACCGGACGGCACGGAAGAAGCGCTGTTTCAGACGCACCACATGCGGCTGCAGCAGCCGGACGACGACATTGGTGCCTACCTCCTCATGGCGCTCCCGCAGCTCGTGGTACAAAGCAATCGCTGCCTAAGAGCGGGCGTGAGTGGGGTGGATAGGTGCACCGCATTGACCAGTGGAGCCCGCTCTTCCCGCGCGAGTGCCTCCCGAGAGACTACTACGCCTCGACGTGCCCCGGGTTCCCGGGTATTTACCGACCCTCGCCGAAGCATTCAACGCGATCGTGTCTCCTGCATAGACCCATGCCAGCGCGCGATTGACCACGAGAACGGTAACCGCGACTACGAGCACGGCGCGGTTGAACCGTCGGCGCCAACCGAAGAGCAGATCCGTCGGCACTTGGCGACGTCGGAGCTCGAAGTGCTCGTGATCCTCGAGGGCGAAGACAGCACGACGTCCAATACAATGCAGGTACGCAGCCATGTTGAAAGATTGAAAGATTGATACCTTGCGCAGGCGCGCTATTCGTACACGTTGCACGATCTGCAGTGGCACTGCGTCTTTGACACGTGCGTCTCTCGCAACACCTCGCGCGGCGGCGTCACGATCGATTTCGACAAGTTTCACCACGTGCGCCCTGAAAGTTGAGTGCAAAAAGCGAGCTAAAAGACAATTTGACAATGTTGTACTCCTTTTTTAATTTCGATTGGTCGAGCACCGAGTTTACTGCGGCTCGGCGTGCTCGAGCGGGTACAAGTGGGCGCCTTCGACACCAAACACCTGACCGGTATCGAGGTCCTTGACGCGAATCGGTCGGTGCACGCGGCGGTGGTGGGCGTTGCGCCACTGCAGCAAGAGCGGGTGGCGGCACGTTTCAATCACTTCGGACACGTGCAGCATGAGGTCGTCACGGGAGAGCGTCGAGAGCACTTGGATGAACGCGTGCGAGACCTCCTCGGCCAAACAGCCGCTACCGAGCGCGCGGATCGAAGGCTCAGCGCTTGCGAAGAGTGCCATGGAGACGCAGTACATGCCTTCGATGCCCATGAGGAGGCAAATGTCCCAGATACACAAGAGCGTATCGTACTGGAGTTGATTGTGCTTGCGGTTGGCTTGGAGCGACACGTCCGAGAAGAGCGTTGGAAACCACTTGTAAGCGAGTAGGAACACGGGCAGGCCGACGTCGTCAAAGACAGCCGTGAGCGTCGGGAGGTACATGCGCATCATGCTCTCGAGGTGCTGACCTGTCTGCACGAGCGCGCTCACTTCGTCGCTTGCGTCAAAGATCGATGGCAAGATGTGGTGCACCATCGCTTCCAAGTACTGGTACACGCGCACCTCGTCGCCGTCCCAGAGCTCGAGGAGGAGGAACGCGATGCCGTTCATGCCCTGGAGGTACTGCACGTGCGTCGACGCAATGAACGCATGCAGAATCCGGTGCAAGGACGTGAGCCGCTCGGGCGGCGCTTGCACTGTGTTGAGCGGCGCGCCTTCCGACGATGCCATCCACGACGCTGTCCGCGGCACGTCCTTTTGAAGCTGGACTGCGTCCCTAGTTCAAAATGTACAATTTGGTGTGTTTTCTAGTGACAATATATAGGTACATACTCGTCGGAGATTGGGAGGTGGACGAGCGCTTCGAGTTGGTCGAGCGTCGAGACGCTGGGCGAGGCGAGGCCCCACGCAAAGAGCTGCGGCCAGTACGTACTTCGCGCCGCGGGCTCTTGCAAAAGCACCTGCAGCGCCTCGGTGTACCGCGCTTCTTGCTGGCAAAAGAGGAGGAGGCGGACGAGCTCGTCGTTGGTCACCATGGGCACGACCGGCTTTTCAAAGATCAAGTCGCCTTGGGCGTGGAGCGCGCGTGTGAGGCTCGGGTTCGTCGTCTGTTCGTTCGTCTCGGGCGGGAAAAACATAGTTGAGTGCGTGGCTTGCATCGAGGTTGGTAGCGGACTGCAGTTGACGCCGCCACCGACGACGACGCCGTTGGCCAAGTCGATCGCATGGACGAGCGCGCCGAGCCACTGCAGCATGTCTTCCTGCGAGCTCGCTTGGAAGAGGAGAGGTACTTCTTGTTGGGCATTCGTGGGCGAATGCGACAGCAAGAAGCAGAACGGGCGGCCGGCCAGCACTTCGTGGACGAGGCGCACGGAGCAGCCGGCCAACGGTACGTTGGCTTTGGACGCCGAGACAGGTCGCTCCGGCAACGACAAAGAGCTATTGCTGCCGCCCGTCGAGCTGTCGGAGGGCAAAATCGATTGACTCCACTTGGCCATCGCGAGCGTGGCGGTTGAGAGGAAGCGGGCGCAGACAAATAGGTCCCCGTCGATTTCACAGGCGACGTCGCGCCAGCCCATGAGTGCTGTACCGCTTGTTGTGAGCTTGAGCATCGAGCCGAGCGACTCGTACGACTGGGAACGGAGGACGCCGGCTTTGGGCCGACAGCGGAGAAACTGCAGCGTCGAGGGCAGTGCGAGGGACGTGAGCTTCGTGTGCACGTCTTTCGAGCTGCACTCGATGACCGAGTGGCCGTTGACCGCAATGAGAACGCTCCCGCGCGCGAGCTGTTTCTTTCCGAGAAACGTCGAGCTGTAGATGACGAGGCGGTCGCTGCAGAAGCGGCCATGCTGGAGGCACGTGATAATGTCCATGGCGGTTGCGATCCCAAACTCAAAGATGTCGTCGTCGCTCGACTGCGCCGCAACCTTGATCATTGTCGAGGTTGGCGACAAGAAGTTCGTGGGCGAAGCGAACGGAAGGCGGTCGATTTGCGGCGCCGCAGCGCGGAGGCTCCGAATCCACGCGCTCATTTCTTCCATCGAGTCGGCGTGCAAGAGCAGGAAAAAGGCGGGCGACGCGACCTGGAACGTGAACGGCCGACTCGACAAGTACTCGTGCACGGTCTTGATGCTGCAGCCGGCGAGGTCGTACATGCGGTCGGTGGTCTTGGTTGGCTTGGAGAGCTTGGCCTTGGCCTTCGAGAGGCTGCTGAGCGCGAGACTCGAGATGGTCTTGGGCTTGTTGGTCTCAGGCGCGATGGAAAAGTACTGCAGCGTGGAGCCCGTGAGCACGAAGCGGCGCTTCTTCCACACGTTGAGCGTCTTGGCGCGGACGTGCAGATGGCCCTCCATCTCGTCACACCCCGACGTCGACGCCATGGCCTGTATAAATAACCGCGGTTGGGTCATCCGGTTACGGCCGGATAATCGGAAGAGCATGTCTCGTCTCTGTCTCTTTTATATTTGCCTATTTTATCACTCTTTATTGATTAGCGATAAAAAGGCCAGGGCAAAATAAGAGACGAAATGGAGAAGTCGCGATGGAAGTGATGCCCATCACATGGCGAGCGTCCATTGCGCATCACACTCGTGCTGACGAGCCGAACAGCAAGTCCAATACGAAATATATAAGCGGACGTGTGTGTTCCGCCGCCATAAAGTGTTCAGCTGCTAGAGAGGATAGCATGGGGACGGGGCCAACGTCCTTGGATCCTGTTAAAGTTGTCGATACCATCTCTGTTCTACCCCGAGTGGAAGTAGAGCTGATAAGCATCGAGCCATTATAGGACCGAACAAAGTACATCATACAGCATTAAATGGAGCTGATGCCGGTTCAATTCCTGGCGAGCGGGGACGCGCAATAAAGAAGAGCCGATGCTTCGACTTAGACGCGGCAGTGCTCTGTAAAGTTGAACGTCAGCGCTGTGGCGTAGATGGTGCGAAGCTCGGGCAGCGTGCAGTACCCTTTCTCGCCACAGCTCGGCAGACGTACGAGCCGCTCGTTCAAAAGCAGCTGGACGCGGTGTTCGCCGCCGCACGCAAACAGGTGAAAGGCCACGTTGCCACCGAAGGGCGAGATGGCAGCGACGCGAAAGACCCGTTGCGCGATCTCGTCGTCGTCAAAGGCGGCTCGTAACTTGGTGTCGGTGCAGAGGCCGAGGAGGCACACGAGCGGAAGCAATGTCTCGGCGTGCGCAAATCGAAAATAGCCGACGACGCCCGACGACGGGTTCGAAGCGGCGGCCTCCATCGTGCGCAGCATGTGCGCCAGGAGCGGCGCTGCGATCGCATAATCAATCGCATAGCCCGTGCCGCACTCGTAGTACTTTTTTAAGTCGGCGTGAAAGTCAAGGAGTCCCAGCGCCTTGGCCGAGAAGAGGCGGCACCACGTGCGTCGGTCGTGGAAGAGCGCCACCTCGTACCTACGACAGAATCAGAACTCACTGCCAACTAGGGCAACGCCTACGAGCACGCGTCGTAGATGGTCTTGAGCTCACTGAACGAGAGCGGCGCGGTCGGTGGCAACTGCAGCGACCGGTGCAGCTCGGTGAGAAGCTCTTGGGCGCGCGCCGATGCTTCAAAGCGTTTGGTTTCAATCGTCATGGCCGTCTTGTTGTTGCGCACGTCGCGCAAGTAGCGCGGGCAGTTGTCAAAGAAGCGCAACTCAATGTCCTACATCATACCGCGTGTGCACTTGGAGTTGCGATACGAAGATGTTCAACCTCGCCGGCGGGCTTGACGACGTAGGCCACGGACGACGCATTCGTAAAGTAGGCGTTTGCAAAGCTATCGAGACGCTTAGCAAGAGCAATTCGAGCGCTTACACATACGCAATGGCGCTCGCTTTTGTCCGGGCGACGTGCGTGTGCTCGATGACGTAGCGCTCGGGGGTATAGTCGCGCGACAAGCCGACGAGGTCGGCGAGGCGACCGGCGCGCTGCCCGAGACCGGTGAGCTCGTGGATACCTGCAGGCGCCAGTCCTTCAGCTGCATGCGCGTCGTAGCTAAAGTTGTAGGCTTGGAGCCAGCCTGGCACATCGTCATGGAACGTCGACTGGAGCCAGACGAGCACGTCTTGCATTTTGGCAAACTCGGGCGCCATGGGGTACCGCGTGCCATGGCGGAGGAGCGCATTCATCTGCACGAGCTTGCACTGCGGCAGCGAGCGCAGGTCGTCGAGGCTTTGAGGCTCGAACGGCAGCGCAGCGTCGTAGCGCGTTTTGGTCGAGAACGGTGTCGGCGCCGGCGCCGGCAGCGTCCACCGCCGGACAATGAAGAGCGCTTCCCGGTCCATGCACACGTAGTCGAGCACGAGGCGCCAGTTGAGCGACGCGAAAAGCAGCATGCACGTGACGGGAACGATCGAGACGATGCGCATGAGGCCAAGGTACCTCGTCCGGGGCGTCTCCATTGCGACAATCGAAACGCAAACAAGATATTTCGTTGACGGCCTCTGATTTCCATCAATTTTGACCAATCGGAAGCGAGATTTTGGTATCTTGTCGCTGGCTCGATCCAGCAAGGCTGTCGTCGACACAGGATAAACGGAAGACATTTATGGTCTTTTCCATTCACGGAATGTACACTACAATTACAAGATCTTTTTACTCACGAGCGCGGCGCGGAAGAGGAGCTCCACAATGCGCTTGTGCTTTTTACGAACCGCAATCATGAGCGGCGTTTTTCCGGTCTACAAAAGACATGACAACCTGTTGTCTTTATTGCGCAAATCCAAATCGTACCGCATTGCGCAACTCAAAGTTTGCCTTGGCTTTCAGCAGTGCCGAGACGACGCCTTCGTGTCCTCGCTTGGCGGCCACAAAGAGCGGCGTCGAGCCATTCTATTGCACGCTGCTTTGGACTTCAGCCCGCCAAAGCCAGCTCTCTACCTTGTCACATTGGTTGATGTCGGCTTGGGCGTCCACGAGCAGCTTCACGACGGCTTCTTGACCCATCTCGGCCGCCACCCACAGCGGCGACTCGCCTTTCTACTGCCATATCAGCGATATGCGTTGAGCGCAGCGACGGTACAAGGTCCGCCTTGTTGACATCCGCATGGGCCTCGACGAGAAGGCGCATGACATCGAGATGGCCGCACTGCGCCGCAATGTACAAGGGTGTCGCGCCGTCCTAGCCACAAAGCTTACGCCGGTGCTACAACACGAGGTCGTCGTACGCTCTTGGGCTGATTGGGCTTGGCGTGGGCTCGCAATAGCAGCGCCGTGCACCGCGCGTGTCCGTTCTGCGCGGCAATGAAGAGAGGCGTCGCGCCTTCCTGTTCCAGAGGTCAGAGAAACGCAACCCGAAAGACCCTACGCTCGTGCATTTCGAGACGCTCGCCCGCGCGTGCAACAGCAGCTTGACGACGCTCGAGTGTCCGTTGTGCGCCGCAATGAAGAGCGCGGTCGCCTCTCCCTATAGTGTCAATGAGCTCCAACCAGAATCTCTCGCGCACCTCGCGGCATGCGTTGACGTCTGCATTGGCACTGAGCAAGAGCGACACGACAACCGAGTGACCGTTCTGCGCCGCCACGTACAACGGCGTGTGCCCCAGCTATGGATCATCCCAGAGTTGACGTCAGTCAAATGTGTCGTTGATGAATGCGATGGTTACGCGCATGGCCTTGTTGACGTTGGCGTTGGCGCCAAGGAGCTGCGATGCAATGATGCTGCGACCGCTAAGCGCCGCTGCCCACAGCGGCGTTCGCCCGCTCTACCACAATACGTGCTTTATACAACGTCACTGAAGACGCAGCCAGTACAAGCTCGGCTTGGTTGACATCGGCTCCGGCAGCCAGCAGCATCGACACGATCGTGCTGTGGCCAAAGTGCGCCGCCGCAAAGAGAGGAGTCCAGCCAGCCTAGAGAGCCCTGAGATACTGGTACAGTTGCGACAACATACGCGCGTGGCTTGGTTCGGATCAACATCGGCAGTGAGGAGGAGCGAGACGACCTTGGCAAACCCGTTTTGGGCTGCGACGTGCAGAGGCGTCCACCCGTTCTATGCAAGCTCGACACCTGTAGGAACGAAATCAGCGACGTACCTCGTCTGCAGTACGCGGGTTGGCGTTTGCGCGAAGGAGGAGGTCGACGATCGCAGCGTTGCCCTGGAATGCAGCTTGCAGCAACGGCATTGTAGCCTAAGCAAGCACGGGGTTGAGTACGAGCCGTGAGCGCCAAGAAGCCATTGCCTCGACGACCGCGTTCGGGTTGGCCCCTCGCTGAAGGAGGAGCGCAACCTGCGCGGCGTCGCCGCCTTGCGCTGCCTCGACAAGGAGCCTATCGTCGCTGACCTGGGGCTCCCACTTTGGCAAAGACGCAGAGCGCACGCGAAACATCAAGCTCAACACTGCGTGCTCTGCACCCGCGCTACGAGAATGATTCGTTCTTTTGTGCCCGGACCATGTCTATACGAACGCACATCGAATGCGCTCATCTTACTCTGTCAAGCCTGGGCTGCGTTGGACGCTGTAATCGTAGTGTCTTAGTGCACTATAGCCAATCTGGCGTTGTAACAACCGTCGACTCGTCGGCGTGAGGAACGCGCTCGGTGCATGTATTCGAGCCCTGAGCAATGCTGAAGTCCACTGGTGCATGTCTGTCCCGTCGAGTCGTAGCAGCGTGCAACGTGTCTATTTGACCAGATTCAACACTTCTTCAAGGAGCGCTGGCCCGACGCGACCAGGTCGTGGTCCAGCCGGTCGTCAAGAGTACGACGTGCCATGCCGTCGCACGGGCTCAGGTCATGTTGGTTTCAAAATCCAAGAAAGTGCAGCGGCAGCTGGGGATCGAACCATGGCCCAGGCGCGTGTTGGCAGAGGCCACAATGGCGTCCGTCTCGCGATCCGACCAGGCGGTGATTTTCAAAAACTTGAATTATCCGGATGACCAACGAGTGTATGCGGACGTTTGGGCGCAGATCTTGGCCATGGCGACGGGCGACCTCAGCAACAACGCGACCAAGGTCCGGCGGCAGCTGCAGGCGATCCAGTACCCGCACGACGTTAACGATGCTGCCAAGCAGCTCGCCAGAGGCACGCCCGTGAGCCACCTCCGCGAGCTCCTGCGCGTCTTGCACTACGCGCTCCTCGACTACTCGCGGCACGTGGCACAGCGCGTCCAAGCGGCGGTGCGTCGCCATCGCTACGGCGCTTCTCTCAATACGATAGTAGGACCTCGATCTCTACGGGCGGACGGACGCCAAGTTTGTCGATGGCGTCTTCCGCTTTGCCCGCGAGCAGCTTGGGTACTTTCCATCGCTCACGAGCGCCCAGTTCTTGTCGGCGACTCAGTTTCGCGAGCGCAAGCTCATCATTGTGGCCGAAATGCTCGAGCAGATTGCCAAGATCCACGTCGAGGGGCTTCGCCAGCAGCGAATAAAGCAGTCGGTGTGGGTGCCCAGCGACAAGGCGCCGGCCGGCCGGCTATCGCGTCCCGTCCAATCGCCGATCGAAATGGTCGACCATCGCGCCAAGGTTCCGGCGCCGCCTACATGGCAGAGTGTCAACCTCGGGCAAACCAAGCCGTCGCGTGTGGTTCGACACGTCGCGTCGCCGCCTGCATACCACGTGTCGCCACTCGTGCCAGCCCCACAGACGGAGCCCGAGCCGGAGGCGCCCATTTTCGACTGGGAGACACCCATTGATGGTGCCGTGTACAAGGTCTACACAGTCTTGCAGGAGCGATATCTCTTAATCGCTTGGTCTGCGTAGAATGTCGACAAGGCGGTCTTGAAGCCTCCGCCACCGACGCCGTTCTGGGTCGAAGCACACGTTCAACGAGAGCAGCAGCAGCCACGTACGTACGAAGAAGACGACACAGTCGACGAGCTGTACCCGAGAGAACTCCCGATTCAGCCAAGCGTCGAGCACCCGATCCAGCCCACGCGCGCGCCAACGCCACCGGAGCCAGCAATGCATGCCACTCTGGCCAAAGTACGATGTCACATTCTTGAGCGCCTTCTCAAGCGTCCTTGTAGCTCGAGGCGACGCTCTGCAGCAAGCTCGACGATATTCTAGCGCTCGTCGCTGACAAATTTGCGCAGCTCGACGACCGGCTGGCGCGGCTCGAGGCCAAAGTGGACAAGCCGGGCGCTTCTCTCAGCCCCAACCAAGAGCCCGAGACGCCCAAGGTGTTCAACGCCCCGCGCACGACGACTGCCAGTAGCTCGGTGTATCGCTGGCCGCCCGAGCCCGCTGCGTTTCGTAAAGTGGTCTAGTCCGACTCTTTCGAACGCACACCTGGGGCTCTCTAATATGTTGTTTGCTGATATTCTTATTGGTGGCTTAGGCCCAGTAGCGCTCGCCTGTGTAGTGGTTGTAGTAGTACGCGGCGCCGGACGCCTCGTCCACGTACTGCGCCCAGCCGTCGCCGCCGCTGGCCGCAGCGCCGTCGTCATAGTAGTGGTAGACACCGGCCTCGTCGTAGAAACCATACTCGTTGGTCGCCGCGCTGTAGTAGCCGCCGACGTTCTCGGTCGTATAGTCTTGCGTCGAGATTGCATTCGAGTAGCTGAGCAGCTGCGCGGCGACGTCGGCGGGGTTGGTGTTGCCCGGCTTGGTCCAGCTCGCCTCCTGGGTGCGAATGTTGAAGTAGTACGACGCCTGCGCGTTTTCGTCCCAATACTCGACCCACTCGTCGTCGCTTGTTGTGCTGGCCAATGCCTCGGCCCGCGCCGCCGCCGCCGCTTCTTCAGCCGCGGCGGTTGCGGCTTCTTGTGCGGCCTGCGCGTCTCGCCGCTTGCGCTCCGCTTCAATCTTGGCTTGCATGGATCTGACCTGGCGCCGCGCCACATAGCCTTTGCCCGCCGCCTGGATCCGGCGTGCGGCCACGTCTTTGGCCTTGCGCTCCGCGAGTCGCTGCTGCTCGCGGATCTTTTTCTGCTCGAGCACCAGCGCAAGCTCTCGCTCCTCTTGCTCCCGAACGCGGGCTTCGTCCTCGAGCGCCTCGAGCAGTCGGCGCTTGACCTCTTCCTTCTCGAGACGCGCTTTCAACAGGGCGCGCTCCTGGACGTCCTTGATCGCTTCGAGCTGCCGCTTTTGGTCCTCCTGGATGCGCTTGAGGCGCTTCCGACTCAAGCTCGCGCGAACAAACGCTTGAATCTGGAGTGCGGCCCGCTCGCGTGCGACCCGGTTGGCAGCTTCGGCGGTCACGGCTTTGGCAGCTTGGAGTTGCTCGTCCTGCTTGCGCGCGAGCTCGAGGGACTTGGTCGTATCGAGCTGCAAGAGGTTTTGGCTCACCCGCAGGCGCGTCTCTTCTTCACGTTGCGTGGCCGCTTCGTCGGCCGCGCGACGGCGCTTCTCTTCCACCGACGCCAGCTGCTGGCGCTCGTGCTCGAGCGCTTCGCGTTTCGCCTCGAGCTCGCGCGCGTCCTGGAGCTGCGTGAGCGCAGCGCTCGTGTGCGACGGCTCGAGCATCGTCGCGAGCTTCTCGTTGGCGAGCGCGGCTTCGTCGACCTTGAGCGCTGCGAGCTGCACCAATCGCTGCTGCTCGACTTCGGCGCGGAGCCGCGCGGCCTCGGCCTCGATCGCGCCTTTCTCCAGCAGCATCTGCAACTTCATCTGCGCCAACTCGACCTCTTGTTCTTGCCGCAGACGCGCGATCTCGTCGCTCGCCTTCTCGGTGGCCAGCATCGCGATGCGCTTTTGAAACTCGGCGCGCCGCAGCGCCAGCATCCGCACCGCCTTGCGCTTGCGTAAGAAGCACTGGATGCGGATCGCGGCGTTGGCGCGTTCTTGAGCGGCATTGAGCGCCGCCACCTTGATCCGGTGCTCGCGTAGCCGGGCGCGGTACTTTTCTCGACTGAGGTACCCGCGCATGCAGCACTGAATACGAACCGCCGCGTTCTCCTTGGCGTCGTGCACGAGCTTGGCGAGCGCCGCCTGCGCTTTCGCTTCAAAGAGCGCCTTCTTCTTGGCGGCGCGCTGCCGCCCCCAATGCCCCCGAAGCGCAGCTTGGATCGAGACGGCGGCTTCTTCGCGCTCTTGGCGAAGCAGCATCTGGCGCTTGCGCTCGCGGCGCAATTTGCGCGCTTGGTTGCGCGCGTGCTTGGACCGCGCGAGGCACTGAAGCTTGACGGCTGCGAGACGCTCTTCCTTCTCGAGCGCTGCTTTGGCCTGCCGCCGCAAGTGCACGTCCCGTCGCGCCGTGTGCCCGCGCCAGCGTCGCTGGATCTTGAGCGCCGACCGGTGCTGCAGCTGCTGGCGACGCCGCAGCGTTCGCTCCGCATCGAGTGCGTTGCAGTAGCGTCGGCCTCGAAAGCCCCGGTAGAGACTCTGGATGCGAATCGCACTGGCATTCCGCATCGCGGCAAGTTGCTGCTCTTGCTCGCGGGTTGCGCGCAGGCGCAAGTGGTACGCGTATCGCCCGGTGGCGCCGCGCCAAAACGCCTGAAGGCGCAGCGCTGCGCGGTCGCGCTTGGCCGTCAGACGTTTGGCAGCCTTCTCGCGGCGCATGCGCGTGACGCGCACCCGTGCCCGATGGCCCCGAAAGAAACGCTGAATCTGAATCGCTGCGCTCTGCCGGCGCCGGATGCCACGCACGCGCAGCCGCCCGAGCCAGCCGCGCACGCAGCGCTGGAGGTCGCGCGTGGCTTTGGCCTTGCGGTGCACGAGACGGCGCCGGCCCACTTCGAGGTACGCGGCTTTCCGTCGTGCTGCGCACTGCAGGACGACGGCAGCGCGGTGCTGACGCTTGACAAAAAGCACTTCGCGCGCAAAGAGCCGCTGCTGGTATGTTCGGAATGCCGTCTGGATCACGATCGCGCCGTGGTGCATGGCCTGCACCCGGAAGAGCTGGCGACCGAGGCGCCGGCCCGCAAAGCCGCGGTAGCATTTTTGCAAAAGCGAGGCACTTTGGACCTCGAGGCGGTGTCGGCGGAGTCGCCGCACAGCGCAGCGACAAAGGTGGCCCCGTACGATGCGCTGAAAGGCGATCGCGCCAACGTCCTGGAGATGGTGCAGGCGGGCGACGCGGATGAGCATACCCCGCGCTCGCTTCTGGATCTCGATGGCACTTGCATTGCGCTCGTTGCGGGCTTGGTCCATGGCATCTTGGGTCCACGCAAACCAGGCGCGGACGAGCGACTTGTGCTTCCAGGCGTGCATGAGCGTGTGGAGGCGCGCGCCGGCCTTGACCTTGAGGTACTTGTCGGCCTTGAGCTTGGCCGCCATAAACGTGAGGTAGTCGATCCACTTGTAGAACGCGCGGGCTTGAAAGTTGAGCAAAATGCGCGAAAAAAACTTGTTCATTTTCTCGGCGCCCCACTTTTGGCAAAAGAGCTGCGCCTTGAGCGACGTGACGGGGCAGTTGGCTTGGACCCACTGCACGTCTTCCCGCACTAGATACGTTTACGGGACACATTAACCGACTGCAGCGAGTGCCAGAGATGCAAGTACCTTTCATGTCGAGCGTCTTGAGGCCGTACTCGGACAATGCAAGCTCGCGACGCAGCGCGGCCACATCTGTCGGCGCCGCGGCCTGCAAGCAGCTTGGCGTCGGTCGTGCCATGAACCGCTAGGCGAGACAATATCGAAGAGAGTTTACGAAGGTGAGAAAAGGTACGTTGAACTGCTGGAGATGCCGCTTGGAGCGCTGCGGTGCCACCTTGAGCGGCGGCAACCCTGCATCGGCAACGCGCGACATCGTGGACTTGGACGCACTGGCCATCGCACCGACGTGCTGTGCCACTGCCAGCAGCCTACGCTCGCAATGCAGTTAGTTGTTGCGAGCAAAGAGGACGTACTACCGCTTCCTTGCCTTCATCATGTTGATAAACTCGTCGAACTCGATTGATCCGTTGTTGTCGGCGTCGGCCTGGCGAATGATGTCGTTGATCTCTGCATCGTCCAAGTCGGCCTCGCCCATGGCTTTGAGGAGCGTTCGGAGCTCGTCCGGGGAGATGGACCCGCTCTTGTCCGTATCGTACTCGTCAAAGACTGCGCGGTACCGCTCGGCCATCTCGTTTTGGTTGAGGGCGTGGCCGCCAAACTGCGCCTCGAGCGCGTTAAACTCGTCTAAAGTCAAGCCCATTTGCGCTGCCTGGGCGGTACGCTGCGCATCGTCTATCGACGCGCGCTCGTCCAGCACCAGCGGTGCGGCCAGTGGTCGAGCTTTGGTCGGCCGCGCCCGTTTCTTGGACGGCTTCTTGCGCACGAGGCTCGACTTGTCGTCGGCTTGGTTCGTCTTGTGACGCGGGAGCGTCAGCTCAGCGACGTGCTGAAGTCGCTTGCGCCGAAGGTCGGCCGTCGGCTGAAGGAATGGGTGCTTGGCCATTTGGAAGCCCGGCGAGTCCATCTGGAAGAGACTCTTGAGGCTCGCTGCGTTCAGGTACAGCGGCCTACGCGTGGCATGAGCATGCTCGTCGAGCAGGTGCAGGGTACTTGTCGCTGGCTGCAAGCTGCAGTGGCCGCGTGCTCGGTGGCAGACTCTGGTAGAGCCATGGCGCTCCGGCCGGGCTGCTCATGCTGCCCTGGCGCTCGTTTCCTCCGTAACGGTCAGCACAAGTGTGAAAGGTTGAAAACCTTTCAAAATGGATGCTATCAAATGCTACAGGAATTACCAAATTCTGTCTCTTCCAGTGTCTCTTCTTGGTACACTGTCTTGCCATCAGCCTTACTACAGGACCGTGGGCCCCTCCGTGAGCAGACCATCGCTCGCATTTTCGGCAGAATTCTTGTCTGGTGCGCTCTGGAAGGACCGACAGAATTGAGCTCAACATCGAAAACCCGGTGCTTTGCGCGTACTAGTACGTGATTATACGTTAAATCGCTGGACCTTCGCGTGGTAGAAACGGCGTCGGTGCGGCCGGCTGCAACAGTTTGTTGAGGACCATGGCCATGAGCTCGTCGTGCCGCGCCGCTCGCTCTTCCCGCTGCGCGTCCATCTTGTCGCGGTACTCTTCGCGCTGGCGGTCTCGTTCGTCGCGCTCGAGGCGCAGCGCTTCAAAGCGCTCGTCGCGCTCTCGCTCGCGGGCCTCGCGGCGCTCCTCCATTTCCCGCATCCAGCGCTCTCGCGACTCTTCCATCGCCAGCAAGCGTGAAAGCACGTGGTCCTCGACCTCCGAGCGCGGCCGCTTCGCCAGCGGTGCCAAGCGCCGCGGCGTCTCATTGCTCACGGCGCGGGGCAGCGGCTCGGTTGCTTCCATGGCGGCCGCGTACGCAGCGTCCGGAGACTCGAGACGCAGCACCGGTGGGCCTTCGTCGTCACCCTCGGGCGTCAACGCTGTGTTGCGCATCGCAATCAAAATCTGCCGCCGGCTCGGTGGCACCGTACCCCGTTTCGGGACGCGCTTGCTGAACGCTGCAATCTCCTTGGGACGGAGCCCTTGGCTTGCGTAGACATTGGCGAGCGGCGCGGCCGGGGGCTCGATGGCTTCGGGCGCAGGCTCTTCCGCTGTCGGGGCGGCAAAGTTGTTGCCATTATTGCCGTCGCTAGGACCGAGCGTCAGCATGGTCTTCTTGCGGTTGATGTCGTCTTGAATACGTTTGGCCTCGGTCGAGTGCTGGCGCGTCGAGAGACTTCCTACAGCCCATCGCGTACGCTCGCTGATCCTCGCCATCATGCAGCGCTACCTGTGCCACTGGCCATGTTGCGCAGCGACTTGTACTTGCGCCGGACCGACTGGAGGTCGCGGCGGTCGGTTCGCTGCCGATGAAAGTTGTACGCGATCACAACGTCCTCCCACTCGTTCGTGTCGACGGGCAAGATGTCGCTGACGCAGGCGAGGAGGTCTACGCACAAGCAGCATGAGCACGAGTATGGCTCTCGTCATAACCGCGTCGTCGTACCGAGCTCCTCGTTGGCCTTCCAGCCCTTCCCGCGGCCATGGCCCGTGCGCTTGAGCATCGGCGTCCGATTTGCGCTCGTGCAAAAAAGAGGTGGTGCTGCAAACGCAATTCGTGCCACCAATTTAATTTACACTTGTTTTATACGGCATACAATGAAGTAGTGATACAATACGAAAACCACCGCCACGCAGCTCAACCAGCGTCTCTTTGTGCGAAATATACGCCACGGAAACGACAGCTGGGCGAGAAAAAGGGCCGTGGCGCTGCGACACGCCCAGGATCCTGTTATGTATTGCTCGACTCGCTTGCTTTGTATTCCGCACCACGTCCAGACACGTCATCACAGCATCAATCGCGGCGATAAGAGCCACGCGCTACCACATTATTCATTGATAACAATGCTGACCAGTCCAAGCAGTAGTGAGACTTTGCCGTGTCTGAACGGGGGTAGTGGTCCTCCGCCATCCTACTTGTTGAGCTCGGGCACGACGACGTTTCATAATGCCCTTGTATCCCATGTGACGTGGCAGCACGCTCGACCAGAGCGCCTGAGTGATGCGAGTTTGAAAAGGTTCAAGTTAGTACGTGCCATATATTATTCGACCGACTTAAAGAAAGTGACGATTGCAATCACATGCAACCGGATGACACCATTCATATTGTCATCTTACTTGTTGAGCTCGGGCCACGACCACGCCCCCTTGCGCCCGTTCGATTGGCGCGCCGCATTCGCGAGTGCGGCCCACGCGTCCTTCTCGTCCGTCCACGTCTCAAAGTCGCCGTGGTTGCTTGGCTTGAGCACCTGCCACACCATCCACGGCACGCCCGCCGCGTTGGCCGCCGCCGAGTACGCGGCGAGACCGCTGGCCTTGTTGCTCCCCGAGGCGCCAAACTCTTCAAAGATGACGCGCTTCTTGTGCACGTTGGCGAGCTGCACGGCCGACTTGAGCTTGTTGACGTTCGCGCCTTCGTACGAGTGGATGGCGACCACGTCGAGCGCCGGACAAGTGAAGTACTCGGTGAGCTGCGAGACACCGTAGTTGGTGCCGCCGCCCGACATGACGAGGATCTTGCGGTTGGACACGGCGTTGCGGATCGTCTTGGCGCGGTTGCAGAGCCACTGCGGGTTGGGCATCGTGGTGCCGCTCTCGAGACCGCCCTGCGACTCGTTCTGCGGCTCAAAGCCCATTATGGCCTCCGAGAGCTCGCTCCACGGACGGTTGTTGAAGTACGGGTTACGGTGCGCCAAGATGTGCTTGATGCGGTTGTCAAAGTCGGCCTGGGCGTCGCCACGCGTGTAAAAGTCGTTGGCGATGTTGGCGTGCTGCTGGCAACTCGTCGTCGTCGGCAACTTGTACTTGGTCACGTACGCGTCCGTGTCCCAGCACCCAAGCGACCAGCGGTCGTGGAACGCAATGATGAGCTTCATGTTGCGGTCGTACACGTCGCGAATGAGCTTGTCCACGAGCTTGAGGATCGAGTCGTCGTACTTGCCGACGGGGTTCTCGACGTCGTTGACACCGACGTTGTTGGCGCCCTTGGTTTTGGCGCCGGTCCGCGAGAGAAAGATACGCACGGTCTTGAAGCCGCTCGCCTTGAGCTGGTCGAGCACCTCGCGCCGGTCGCTATCGACGAGCGTATGGAGAAAGTAGCTGTTGGCGCCAGCAAACGACTTGGGGACGGACGAGAGGCACTGCGAGGCACCCGAGCGGCACGTTTTGGTTTTCGAGTTGGGGGTGTCGGCGGCGACGCAGCAGACCCAGCCCTTGGACGCACACGTGTCCGTGGCCGAGTTGCACACTTGCCAGTCCGGCACAGACTTGGCCATCGTCGCAAGCGGCACGAGCGCGAGCAAAGCAAGAATCGACTTCATGTGAGTTGTTGCTGGTAAATGCAAATATGACCAAGATACGTTTGGCGGGCCTAGTCCAGCTGGTCTTGTCCTGAGCCAGACATACCCAGACGCGACAAGCTGTTTTGAGTGCAACGCGTTCGGTGACGTACCGGTTGCTGCGGTAATGCATTCTGCGCATGCGCGTGGTGTGTACGCTATGCGTCTTCACAGTGGTAGTCCTCGCCTGTTACTACACGTCGTCCATCCAAGTACCAGATTGCGGACGAGACAAATACCACAAATTTGAGCATAGAGAGCTCAAATGGGGTCGGTCGAATGGTGCGTGGCATATTACAATACCACATCTAAGGAAGGACCGCATCTCGTCTTCACGTAGCGCTGATGGCCGCACAATCTGAGGAGGCTAACATCTGAAACGGCTGTGAGACACAGCTCTGAATCATGGCTCTGGGTTGTGAGATGAGCTGCAGAACCTAATACGCCCATTTTTCTTCATGAGCACCTGTGGCGCACGGTGGCTTGTGCAATATAGTTTCCGCTCTGTCTGATGGAGGGGCCAGCGCCAATGGAAAGACAGCGAGGGTCTCATTTAGGATTTGAACCCACAGTTCATGCGCGTCAAGCACGAAACCTCTGTCGAAACAGAAGGTGGCACAGTGGACATGCCGGCCTTGGCACAACCAACGTTCGATTCAAATGATTTGTTGATTGACCCTCGGCACACCGAACGGGGCCAATTTGTGCTCACAATGTACTCGACTCGCTCGATTACTGACCAATATTAATAGGACGTCAGCTGCGTTGTGGTGGCGCGAGGCTGTTTTGCGAAGTATCTGAATGATTCAATTGCGTCGCAGGATCCCACTTCGCGCGCGAAGCTTATAGCCGAGCCCGGACATGTCGGGGACGCCGGCTTCGGGGGCGCAGCATGTGTGGGAGACTTGGCGGCTAGAAATGTTTTGAAAACCTATTTGCGCAGCTTGCCCCAACTATTCGTCGGAAAGAGACACCTATTCAGCGCTTTAACCACTACCACTGGTTCCCTGCGGCGGAGAAGTGGGTCGACCCACGCAAAGCTTCGTCGAATCTGGACGACTAGAATTGCTCGCAGCGCACTGGCTATTGCCATGGGTCATTGACCCTTGCTACAGCGCAAGCTGTTTCCGGGCCTCGAATGATACGTGATCATAATGCAGTTTGAATAAGGATCGTTTCCCAACACAACACCAGATTCCGCAATATGGTAGCGCTGTTTTCCAATGGAAGGTTTGCTCAGGGGCAAAGGCGTGCTGGCTTCATGGACCTCAGGTGCAGTGAGGCGAGTAGAGCAGGCGAGATCTAGAATCCGGTTCTCCGATCGTGAAAAGTTCGCTCGACGCTCTACAATTGGTGTTACGAGCCCCTGCAAGTGTGAAAGTCGAATGCGGGGGATTGTCGTGATGCAACTGGGATACTCGTCTTGTCGCGACGGCATGCCCATGGAGTAGCTTTGCTTTCTGTTGCGAGCCCCCGCAAACAAACAGTCAGATACGCTTTGAGCTTGCTTCACGTCGAGTGCCTTATCGACAGATCGAGCTGGGCAAGGTCAGCAATTTTGCCTCTGCATGGGCTGTGGGGTATCTTCTCGAGCGCAGAATCGATTGCTACTTGCCCAAACTGGTGGCGCCTGGCTGCAAACTCATTTTGCTTTTGCCTCTCTTCTGCGCATCAAAAGAATGAGCTCGGCAATCACCGCTTGCTTCCAGCGTCACTGGACGGTCGTCCCGCCGCCGAAAACGCCGGAGGAAATCGAGGCGGAAAAGTACCTCGTTTGTATTCCGCTCTGCGGCAACCGGTTCCTGACGCTCAAGGCGATCGCGTTTAACCGCTGGTACCTCTTTGCGGCGTCGTTCCTCTGTCAGTTCTGCTGCGGCTCGCTCTATTCGTGGTCGATCTACAACGTCCCGTTCGACACGTACATCTACAACGACGCCAAGGCTGGGAAGGCCGTCTACACCTTTTACGTGGCGTGCGGCGTCCTCGGTAGCACGGCCGCGGTCCTTGGTCCATGGCTTGAGCGCAACGGACCGCGCCGCGGCCTCTTCCTCGGCGTCTCTATGTTCCTCTCGGGCTACGTCATCGCCGCCATCTCGCTCTGGTCCAAGTCCATTATCGGCGTCTACATTGGCTACGGCCTCGTCACGGGCTTTGGCCTGGGCATCAACTACATCTCGCCCGTCTCGGCGCTCCAGAAGTGGTTCCCCGACATGCGCGGGACGGCAGCCGGATTCGCGGTCGGCGGCTTCGGTGCTGGCTCGATTGTCTGGGGCAAGGTGTACCTTCCGGCCGCAAAAGCGTTTGGTCTGCCCGCCTCGCTTCTCTTCCTCGGTGTCCTTATGTCGGTCCTCATGTTTTGCTGCGCAGTTGTCATGCGTACGCCACCGCCGGGCTTCACCGCGGGGGGCATGGACATCCACGGCGTCCAAGAGTCGAGCAAGCTCTACGACGACTCGAAGCTTGCCGAGTCGCCCAAGCACGACGACGGCCATGTAGCGCAGTACACTGAGCTCTCGGAAGCGCACGGGCGCGAAGTGCACGCGACCTTCCACGACCTTCACCAGGACAACTACAAGAACGTCAAGAGCCTCAAGCTCATCGACTGCCTCCTCTCGGCCGACTTTTTCTTCATGTACTTTATGCTCGCGGGCAACATCGTCTTTGGCCTCGTCGCGCTCTCGCGCCTCTCGTCGATGGTGACCGAGATCTTCAAGCAAACGCCCGACGAAGCCGCGACCGTCGTTGCGATCAACGGCGCCTTCAACTGCTGCGGCCGCCTCTGCGTGCCCATGGTCTCGGACGTCCTTGCCCGCGCGTTCAAGCTCAACCCGCCGTTCGCGCGCAAGATCATTTTCTTTTGTACACTCACGATCCAGATGACCATTTTGCTTACGATGCCCAGCATCATGCGCGACTTGGATTATGGCAGCTTCCGCGCCGAGATCTGGGTGCTGACGTTGTGCTACGGCGGCGGCTTTGGCACGATTCCCGCGTTCCTCACCGACATGTTTGGCGCCTACAACATCGGCGCGCTCCACGGCTTTATCCTCACGGCATGGTCGATTGCCGGCGTCGGCGGTGGTCTTGCGTTCACGTTCTACTACAACGACCTCGTCAAGGTCCAAGGCGTCTCGATCCCCGAAGCGTACATCCAAAACATCCACTGGATCGTCGTGACCGTTGTTGTCGGCTACGTCGCGCTCTTTGGTGTGCGCACCAACCCAGTCGACCGCTTCGCGCCTGGCTACCAGTACAGCCTCTGCGGCAAGCCCATCCTC